GCCTATACATTACAACTTGGGTCGGGGAGTTTTATGCTGTCTACAGTAATCTGGTACCCCACGGGAAGAAGAAGGCCAGTGCCTTCAGATCGATAGAGTCTGTGATGATCCGAGGAAGGAAGGTTAGATGCAACAGCGATGATATCAACATTGTACTTAATAGGGCTACTGATTTCATGCACGACTACCAGAGTTTGATTACTAAATAGACTCTGGATGACCTTAAGGGTTGGCTGGCACCCCTGATTTCTGATATCACCCCGAGGTGGATTGAGGCCGGAGAGCCTATAGAGAAGAAGGTCCTAAATGTGGCAGCGAGATACTAGTTTGGATTTATTAGCAGTTCTATCATGCCGTTTCAGAACGAATCTATCCTCCGCCACCCATAGGTGTCCTGCCTCGGGAGTATCATAGCCAGGAAGAGCCTCAATTTGAGGCTAATCATTGAGTAGGAGATGGCTATGAGGGACAACCAACACCATACACCCCTTCCCTTTCCGGTATTGATCACAAGTTGTGTCATCGGGTAGGGGTTCCTCTATATGAGAAGAGGGATGTTGAGGTTACTCCTACATCTTCCACCGACATCCGACACAAAGAGGCCCGAGTACTCACGGGATGAGGCTGATAGGAGGAGACCGGCTCTGGTGTACATATCCCCGGAGGTAGATATTATACAATACTTGTAGAGTCAGCCTTGCGTACTCCAGCTCCAGGGCCTTCAGGTACCTCGAGCTCTATTCCTTCTAGCACTCCGAGCACCTCCTCTACTCCCCCTTCTACTAGGTCTGCTGCTGGTTCTACTGCCTCCAAGCCTCCGATTACCCAGGCCATGCTTCTCAAGATAGGACACCTAGCCCATTCTGCCGATGTGCAAGCTTCCCGGCTAGGGGCTGAGGTGCCCTGGATGATTGAGAGAGCTATTACTATTGTACTGACACCTCTTAGGTCTTCCATTGATACTCTCACAGTGAGGGTAGAGGTTAGTGAGAGAGGGAAAGGTGTTACTACTAAGGTGATAGCCTTGAAAGCCGAAGTTTCTGAGTTGAGGAAGGATGTGGACCATCTGAAGTCCATAGACTTTACTTCGCTATTTGGGACGGTGGAGATCCCAGATGATTCAGGTGTTGAGGTTACAGCCTGTGCTGAGGTACCTCTGGCTACCACCAGAGATGCTACTATTTAGGATTCTATAGATGATAAGTCTGAGGTCGAGACATCTAAGGAGCAACTTGAGGTGTGAGATGTAGCTGTTTATGAAGATTTTCCCGACTTGAAGGGTGCTATGCTCGAGAAAGCTAGACAGGTCTCCTTGATAGATATTACTATAGTAGGCTCCAGTGCAACTCTAGCTGATGCCCCCAAAGATGGAGTGATTATGCAGACGTCACCCCAGGCTTAGCCTGTCAGGATTTTTCCCCTCCCTCTATGTTATTTTGTGATATATTATTGTTGTTTTAGTTGCATTTGAGGACAACTGCTTGTTTTGTTAGGTGGGTGAGATATTTCCATACCTACCGATTGTGATTTTAACTTGTTTGTGAATATTGGGCTTATTTTGCTGATATATATATGTTTTAATATTGATCTTGTGGATGTTTTAGCTTGTGGCCCATTGTTTTGACTGAAAAATGGTTTGGAACCTAATTTTAAAATTTTGCCACCTCTTTTGCATGTGATTGTGGCTGTTCTTGAGCTAATTTGAGTGTCGATTGTGATCAATACCGATCACTTGAATAGTACTCTTAATTGAACGAAATGAATGTGCGGCTACGATGAGGCAAACCAAGTTGCATAGACAATATATGAACTTTTAGCATCTCGTTGTGACTAGCCGGTTGTCGAATGAGTCTCTTGTGAAAAACATTGCGCGCTAGCTAGAAGGTGTGGAGTCTTGTTCGATATTGGTACCAATGCCTTGTGTGATGAGATTACTTTGAACATTGTGTGTTATGAAACCTAGAATTTTCCCCATTGGTCCGGTTGACGAGTGATGCAAGAACTTGAAATGATCTTAGGCAACAATTTTGAAGAGTGAAAACAATTTGACAATATACCTCTTTTGTGAGATGTGTGAACCTTGCTTGTCACATTCTGAGCCTTACCCCTTTTTCTTGGAAGAAACTTGAGGAATTATGACCTCTCTTTATCCATTCACCCATAACTTTCATGAAGTATGGTTTGTTTGAATAGCCAACTTAGGCCAAAAGTCTATGTTGGGGGTGTGGTGAAAAGAGAAGAAAAGTTAAAAAAGTGTGAGTAATCCCCCTTTTGTATGATCGATTTGAAAAAGATGGAACCCCTCCATGTAAAAAAAAAGAAAGCGAGAAAAGAAAAAAAGAATTGAAAAAGAACAAAGAAAAAGACCAAAAAAATTGTGAAATAAAGTAGTGGAAATTGCAAACGAAATGGGGTATCCCGTGGTTCTTATGAAGTTGAATAATCGGGTAGATTATAAGCATGTTTGAAATGATTATAAAAAGAAGGAAAGTGATGTTCAAACCATACTTCATGAAGTTAGAAGCCACTAAGCCTAAATGACCATACTTTTGCACTCAGCCCCATTACAGGCCTTGAAATGACCTTTGTGATCTTGAACGAGCTGAAATGGATGTTGATTGAAAAATAAGGGCAAACCTATGGGTGAAGTCATGCATGTGTTCATCTTTGTTAGTGTGAGAGTTTTATGTGATTCCGAGATTTTTAATTGTTGAGAAATTTTGTGTGAATATGAAATCATCTGTGTTGTGAGGGCATTTGAGTACCTTTGTTTAGCTTGAACTTGCATTTGAAGCAAGTATTGTGAGCTTCAGCATCTTTGATAATGGTGAGTAACAATTTGAATCTTTGAGTGCACAATTGATCATTGTATGAGTAGCTTGAACCTTGTTTTGTGTATTTATGTTGAGTCTTATGCAGCACTATTTGAGACATCCTTACTGAACTGCTAATCTTGAGTTTTACTGAGGACAAGAAAATGTTTAAGTTGGGGGTGTTGACGAGTCCTAGATTTGGACTCATTTAGGGCGTTGTTTTGATAGTTATCGTGTCCTCAAATGCCTAATTTATGCTATAAACTGATTTTAAAGCCTTGATATTCAGGTATGGGGTATTAAGGAGCAAGGCAAGGATACTAACAAGCAAAAATGAACAAAATAAGCTGAAGAAGTGGAGAAAGGGGAGACTAGTGATCGCCAAGACCACTTGGCGACTCACCAAGTGGCTATCCAGTCCTCCTAAAGTTACAGTGTGTCAGCCTTGAAGAAAGAAACCAAGTCGCCGACAGAAAAGGGTCAGTCGGCGAACCGCTGATCAGTTCCGCGATGACAAGACTGATCGCCCAAAGTCACAGGATGTGAGGATGCTGAGAGTCAATGCACAAAGGTGATAGAAGAGAGGTAAGGGCGGTTCGCCGAACCACTCGGCGAACCCGACTTAGCTCGCCTAATGACCCTTCGTGGCTAATATTTAGGAAACTATAAATTGGATTTTAAATGTCATTTTGAGGAGTCCTCTCCAAGATATTACAGTTTCCATTCTAGACTTAGAGTTTTCTCTATGTTTTTGAGTTTGAATTTTACAATTTTGGAGGATTTTGCAAGTGGATTATTAATTTTCTGCAATTTGGAACATTGTAAAGGCTTGAATACTCTTACCCAGATCATAACTAATGCATTTGGTAATTGTTTTTCTGTTTTTATGATGTGTGGCTAAAACCCTAATTCTTGGGGTGTGATTATGGGTTGAATTTGCTTATGCATATTGCTTATTATTAATTTAAATGCTATATTGAAGTGGGTTTAATCATTAGTTTTGTTGTTACTTATGAATTGTAGTTGCAAATGCAATTCTAACTTTCTATTCTTAGCTTGCTCGAGAGAGAGGTTTTGGAACCAAAGCTTTAGATTAATGGTTTGTGGGTATTGGGTTGATTTGGGTTCAGCTTGAGAGAGTGAATCCTAAACCCAATCCTACCCATCTTGCTCGAGAGAGAAGATGTATTAAAGTTGTGGGCTGTTCTTAGTAGTTAAGCTTGTTGATGTTAGAGAGAAATCACTTGATTTGAAGTAGTTGTTCGAGAGAAAGCTATTTCACTCATAGTCTCGCCTACCCATTGATATTTAGCTATTTATTAGTAGTTTCAATTACCCATATAGGGAAATTTTCCTATAATCAATCATATCCCAAGAATTCCTCTCTATATTGTTATTTTAGTTTTGTGTGATTGTGTTGTAGTTAATAATTGTAAATCAAAACCCCCATCTAACATTTGTTGTCACCCTATTTGACTTGTTTACATGTCTTTTTCGATAATGTCTATTCCTATGGTTAGTTAGATCACGTTTTTACTTCGTAATTGAATTTGAACACGCAACACTCCCTGTGGATTCGTCCCCAACTCATTTGTTGGGTTCTATACTGCTTAAAAATTGTTTGCACCTAGAATTTGATGAGGTATGAGTGAAACGTTAATCAATACCCTGCCAAAAGCAAGTAGGGGTATCAAGTAAGCATGAGTTACCTATTATAGAAGTTCAGTTGCTTGATGTTTGGGGTATAGATTTCATGGGACTATTTGTGAGGTCTTTTGGCAACATGTATATTTTGGTGGCGGTCGATTACATTTCAGAATGGGTGTAGGCTATAACATTACCCAACAATGAAGGTAAGAGTGTGGTACAATTCTTAAAGATATATGTTTTTGCACGATTTGTCACACCACGTGCTATCAGTGATGGAGGATCTCATTTTTACAATCGGGTATTTTCCTCATTGTTGAGCAAATATGGGGTCAAGCATAAAGTTGCAACACCATACCATTCGCAAACAAGCGACCAAGTGGAAGTTTCAAACCGATAAATCAAAGGTGTTTTGGATAAAATTGTGAATGCTAATCGGACTGATTGGTCTCAAAAATTGGATGATGCTCTATGAGCATATTGTACTGCGTTCAAAACACCGATTGATATGTCACCATACCAGTTGGTGTTTGGAAAGTCATGTCACCTGCCAATGAGTTTGAATATAAAGCTCTATGGGCGTTGAAGACACTGAACCTGAACTGGGAAAAGGTTGCGAAAGGGAGAGTAAGTCAGCTCCATAAGTTGGAGGAAGTTTGGTTGCGAGCATATGAAAGTTCAACCCTGTATAAGGAGAAGATGAAGAGGCGGCATGACGCCAAAATCATTCAACGCGAATTCCGAGTTGGTGATTTTGTGTTGCTCTACAATTCTCGACTGAGACTTTTTCCTAGTAAACTTAAGTCAAAGTGGTCTGGTCCATTCAACGTAACCCGAGTATTCACAAATGGGGCAATTGTAATTGAAGGTAAACAGGGCACTTCTTTTAAGATGAATGGGCAACGTCTGAAACTCTATTTTGGAGAATGTCATGAGATTTCGATAATTGAAGTGGTGTACTTGGAAGATGCTTAAAAGAAATTCCACGTCGTGCCACGACGTTAAATAAGGCACTTTTTGGGAGGCAACCCAAGCTTTAGTTGTCTCTGAATAATGTGTGCTAGATGTGCAGGAACACGTGATTTTGCGAGGGCAAGGTCATCTCGGTGATCCAGATTTAGCTCACCTTTTTCACAATGACAAAAGGACTATAGTTCTGGAATATTTGGCAAAGCAGCCAAGTTGCTTGGTGATCCACAGATAAGGTTCAGCGAACTCGACTTCCACCGCTCTTTGATCAATCCTGAAGGGTAAGTGTTCTGGGAAGTTTGGCGACAATTTTACTATACTCGACGGTGCGCCGATGCTGCTCGGCGAGCCCGATTTAAATCTTATTTTGGTCCCAACTGGAGAGCCATTGTTCTAGATATTTTGGCGAGCTGCATCAACTAGGCGTTGAGTTTAATGGTTCAGGGCTCTCCACAACATTTCGCCAACTGGCCACATAGTGAAGAATCCTCCTGACCCTGCTCGTTTCATTCAGTGCTATTCTCTTTCTACTTCTGTCTTTATTTCATGTTCTTTTTCTTTTTTACATTGAGGATAATGTAGGATTTTTTTGTGTGTTTGAGTATCACCTCTTGATGTGTTTGAATGTGACTGTCTTTTGCAATTTCGAGTGTCGGTTGTGATCAATATCGATGACTTGAATAATACTATTAATTGAACAATATGAGTGCGCGCCTAGGATGAGTTGAAATGAGTTACATATGTGATATGTGAACTCCTAGCATCTTGTTGTGACTAGCCAATTGTCGAGTGAATCTCTTGTGATGATCATTGCACGCTAGATAGAAAGTGTAAAGTCTTGTTAGATAATTGTGTCGAATGCCATGTGTGGTGAGGTTATCTTGAATATTGTGCTTGATGACTCCTAGAACATGCTCTATTTGTCCAATTGATTGATTGAAGCAAGCGATTGAAATGATCTTAGGCAGAAATTGTGAAGAGTGAAGCAAATTGACAGTATACCTTATTGTGGCCACCTTGTGAGAAGTGTGAACCTTGTTTGGCAGCGTTTGAGCCTATCCTTTTCTTTTCTTTGGTAGAAACTTGAACCACCTTTACCTCTTACCCCATCACCTTTAACCTCCATGAACTGTTGGTTCGTTGAATAGCCAATTAGGCAAAAAGCCTAAGTTGGAGGTGTGGTGAAAAAGGAGGAAAGTCAAGAAGTGTGAAGAATTCCCCTTTGATGGATTGTTTTGAAAAAGATGGAACCCTTCTATGTGAAAAAAAGAGAAATAAAATAAAAAGGCAAAAATGGAAAAAGACAGAAAAATAGAATAGTTTGTGAAATAAAGTGTGTGAAAGGAGTAGAAGAAATGGGGTATCCAATGAGTTATGCTTAAATGAATAATAGGGTGGATTGTGAACATGTGAGAAGTGTGAAAGAGAAGGAGAAAATAAGTGAATTGCAATCCATACTTCATGAAGATAAAAGACACTAAACCAAAATGATATACCTTTACACTCAACCCCATTACAAGTCTTGGAAGACCTTTTTGATCTTGAGCGAGTTGAAAATAATGTTGATTGGAAAATAAGAGCAAGCCTATGGGTAGAATCATCCATGTGTTCATCTTTGGGAGTGTGAGAGTTGTATTTGATTCCTAGATTATAAAGTATTGACTAATCTTGTGTGAGTATGGAATCATTTTTGGTGTGAGTGAATTTTAATACTTTTGTTGAGCTTGAAATTGCATTTGAGGCAAGCATTGTGAGCTTGAGTCTATTTGATGATGCTTAGTGACAATTTGAAACTTAGAGTGCATAATTAAATGTTGTATGTGTAGTTTGAACCTCTTGTGTGCATTTGTGGTGAGTCTTGAGTAGCACTGTTTGACGACATCTTTGTTGAACTGATTGATCTTGAATTTTACTTGAGGATAAGCAAAAGTTTAAGCTGGGGATGTTGACGAGTCTAGGATGTTGACTCAATTAGGTCTTTGTTTTCATAGTTTTATTGTCCTCAATGACTAATTTATTCTCTAAACCAATGTTAAAGTGTCGATTTGCAGAAATGAAGACTAAGGAGCAAGGCAAGGATATTACAGGGCCAAAAGGAGCGAAAAAGCTAAAGAAGTTTAAGAAAGGCAATCCTAGTGATCACCAAGACCAGTTGGCGAGTCACAAAGTGGCTTTTTAGCTCTCCTTAAGTTCCAGCATCCCAACCCTTGAAGAAGTGGAATTGGGCGAGGTAACATACCTTTTGACGGATCGTCGAATGGTTTGACGAATGAGGCTCAGATCGCCAAAGATTACAGACTTGTTGGTGAAGACACAAGCAAAACGGCGATTAGCAAGGACAATTGGAGCATCACCGATCAGGTCGGTGATCCCGACCTCAATCGCCCAAGTATACAATGTTTAAATAGTGGTAACGCAAGAAAAGAAAGTGAGAAGGAGGAGCATTGGGCGTGTCACCGACTGGTTTGGCGACACTCGACTTTTACCCCTTAATGACCCAAAGGCCAAATTTTGAGGAAGTATAAATAGATTTTTAAGAAAAGATTAAAGCATATTATCATTGTAAAAATTTATAGTTAAGAAAAAGATTGTTCTTGCTTTGTTTTGAAGCATTTTTCAAGTATTTTTGAATTGGGATTTGGAATTGAAGCTACATCAAATTATTGTAAGGATTTGGAGATTAATACCCACCTATGTGACTAAATGTCTAATCTAGTTTATGGGTGTTAGGGATTATTGATTTTATTTCTGTTTTGAAGTGGGTTTGATCTATAACTGATGTTCAATTTATGAATTGGAATGATGAGTTGAATTCTAATTTAGCATTTTATGCTTGCTTGAGAGAGAGGTGTAAAGTGAAGGTTATAAATCAGCATTTGTAGTGATTGGATTGTTGTGGGTTCAGCTTGAGAGTGTGAATTCTATACTCGATTCTTCATATCTAGCTCGAGAGAGTAGATAAGGTGAGGTATTAGGTTGTTTGTAGTGTTAAGCTTATCAAGGTTCGAGATAACTCGCTTGAAACGTAATAGTTGTTTGAGAGAGAGCTATTGCATCTTAAGTCTAACCTACCCACTAAGATTTAACAAACTTTAGTAATTACCAACCACCCGTTTAGCGAAATTGACAATTATTCGATCACATCCCCAAATATCCCTCAATTACTTGATTACTCCCATTGTTGTTCGTAATTGCTTAGTTGGCGTACCTATTCACCCTTTTTACATTCGTGTCAACCCTTTTGATTTATCCAGATGTATTCGATAATTTTTATTCCTATAACCTATTAGACCACATTTACAACTTCATAACTGAATTCAAACTTGTACCGCTCCCTGTGGGTTCGACCTTAACTCTTTATTGGGTTTTATACTATATTACGATCGCCTACACCTAGTATTGGATGAGGTGTAGTTTAGAGTTTATCAACGATCCACCAAATACGTTGGGTGAGCTCGACTAATGTCTCCATGTTGGTCACACATTGGATTTATGACCAAATTTTAGGAAACTACAAATAACCCAAATGAGAGAGAAAATAAAAAGTTTTTTAGAGATAATATTTTTGTATGAGATTTGTGTTTGTAACTTTTGACAAAGTTTGAGGACTTTTTACGTTGTGAGAAACACTTTTTAGTTTTGGGGTTTAAGAATACACTCTTGAAATTGACAATTGAAGGTTGAAATAGAAGTGGGAGTTGATTATAATTGCTTAATTTCAACGCATTCATGACTGCAATCATGATAGGTATAATTTCTTTACATTTTGATGTGTGGCTAAAATTCCAATTCTAGGGGTGAAGTTATGGGGTTGGATGTTGATTTAATGTGGTGGATTTTGTGTTTGCTCTGGTTTACTACTCTGCATTCATGGATTTAGACTAATTATCATGGGGTTAATTTATGGGTTAAGGTTACAACCTTAATCTTATTCTCTATCTTTGATTGATGGTCGAAATAGATCAATGTGAGTAGGTAATTAGTTTAATGTATGCAATTTAGGTCTGATTTCCTTAGATTGCTCGAATTAGAGATTATGGTTCAGATATTTTTGCACAAATCTTCTCAAAAGAGAAATTTCGTATGGTAATGTATTGATTGGTGATTCACAGAGATGAGACTAAAAGGAGATTCTATGATTTGTACTATGAGATCGAAAGAACATTATCATTGAAGATGACTCAGCATATCCATAATTGTTTAGTACTGTTGAGCAACACAATTACCCCTTTGTGACATCGATTCCAATCCCCGCACCCCTAGATTATATTTTAATTGCTTGAATTTATGAATTTTAGTCTAATTATGATATTTGATACTTCAAACTATTTTAGTAAATTTTTTGAAATCATCCAAAATTTCTCTAAGGCACTACAATGAATAGGTCCGCATTCTTAATTTCCTAGCTGGATTCTTATCCCTAAACCATTCCTTGTGGATATCGACACCGACTCTTTGTCGGATATTTTTTTTGACAATGACCAGTTACTCTTCGAATTGTTTTTAGGGTAGTTTGAGTTATCAAAAATTGCTCCATTATCGTTGAATTGTATCTAAGAATTCAATTAGTGAAGTTAGTTTGTAAACTTATTGAGTTGCAGTAGATTGTTGCTCGGTTTTTTGTGTTGCCTATTTGTAGGTACAAACATGAGTTATAATGGTACTGACAACGCTATTCACTATAGGTAAGATGATCAGATGGGCGACTTGAAGATCATGCACATAAATGTAATTGGGACAAATGGAGCTATTCAATTACCTTCTAAAACAAGGAGGGCAATGTTCCATGTAACCAGAACAATGCTACAACTGCTCCAAATAAGAGTAGTTAATGTTTAGGGTTTATCTCATGAAGATCCTCATGAAAACCTACGAAACTTTATGGATATTTGTGGACTGTTTTTCATCAAGAACATCTGACAAAAATCTACTTGGCTGAGATTATTCCTATTCTCCTTAGCTTGGGAAGCTACTAGATGATTTGCTGACTTTTGGAATGATTCTAACACTTCTTGGGAGGAGTTAACCAAAGGATTCTTAGAGAGATTCTTTCTTTACTTGAATTTGGTCAATCTTGGGGATAACATCTAGATCATTAAAAGAGTGGGAGGTGAACCTCTTCATGAGACATGGTTGTGGTAAAAAAATGCTACTACAACGTCGAACACATGGCGTTTTGGAAATTTTTGTGCAACAATACTTTTATTGTAGCCTTGATTCAGTCAACAAAGACTTGGCTGACCAAGTTGTTCATGGTGAGCTGATGCAACAACCGTTCGATGTGGGAACATTGTTGCTTATTGGTATGACTAAAGTAATTTGAGCACGTCATACTATAGAGGATCAAATATTTTCTCAACAATGCAGCATGATCAAGGAACAAATGGAAGGGGAGAAAACATGGCTAAAATGATTACCCAATATGACTTGTTGTCCAAATATGTCACTGGAGTTGTATGAAAATAGTAAATACAGGTGGAACAAGCATTGTGCAGTGTCTGGAAGATGCCAAATTTGAGGCATTGTATAATATAGAGGTGAATTATATGGGAAATCAATTGGGGGGGGGGGTTCTAATCCTAACTACCCAAGACTTGGTGAGAACAAAGTTTGGAACAAGGATTGAGATAATGGTTGGAGATATTAGAGAAATCGAGGTGGAAATTTGAGAGATAGGGAAGCTGAAAAAGATAGGTATGTCCCACCTCAAGATAGCCCAAAACCGAAGGAACCAGTTGGACTGTAGGGATTTCAAACAAAGGATATGCTAACAAGGATCTTCAATAAGGTTAAAGGGTCAGACAAAGTGTTGATGGATTTGAATAATGACTTGTCCACTTTGGCTCAAATGGTAACTTCTCATTCCATATCAATCAAGCAGGCGGAAACTCAAATTTTTCAGATCTCTACCTATCTAAATTCAATGCAAAAGAGAATGTTGCCTAGTGACACAATCCCAAAACCTAAAAATGATTATTGACGAGTAAGAACTATGTCATGCCACAATGTTAAATAAAGAGCTTGTAATACCTCAGATTTTGGTAAAGAGAGGAAAAAAGGTTTTTGAGTTGCAGGTTGGTTCTACGGGTCCTCATAAACGAATCGTAGAAGCTTCTACATGCCATACATGATATCATTAGAAAATAATGGAAATAATGTTTTAAAACCAAGTCCTTGTACCTATTTTACGGTTCACCAGTGCGGCTCATCAAGCGATCTACTAGTCGTTAATAGGTCTTTAGGTATGTTACACCCCAAGGGTATCCCCTAGACGTAACACGGCGTATAAGACTCCAAAACGTCTCATACAAGACGTTAGCATATCATGACATGAGATAAGAGAAAAGTACATAAAAAATTAAAACTTTTTACAACCGAAGTTATTTTCATAAAAGGAAGCGGAAGACTTTCTATACTTTGTCTCAAACCAACTAATACAACATTAGAATAAAACTCTTGGGACACAACCCATACAATAGTCTCAACATGAAAATAAAAGATATAAAAGAAAGGTGGGTTTTGTCCTCGAAGCTATGAAGACTTACCAAGATCTTCTACTGCTTGCAACTTCTAGAAACCTATCTCCAAGAGTAACACTCAATCTCTAAACCCTACATTTGATTAGAATGTAGGAAAAGTATGCATTAGTACATAATGTACTAAATATGTTATCCTACCATAATCATAAGAGAATGAGGCAAGGGTTAGTCAATATAAGACATAATCCAAAAATTATATGAATGTGGTTGTTCTTTTGCAAAAAATTAAGTCTCCGTTTTGATCAATACCGATGACTTCAATAGTGCTCTCAATTGAACGAACATGAATGTATGGCTACGATGAGGCCAAATGAAGTTGCATAGACAATATGTGAACTCTTTGCATCTCGTTGTGATTAGCCATTTACCAAATTGATTCTCTTGTTATGACCGTCGCACACTAGCGAAAGTGTGTAGTCTTGTTTGACTTAAGTGTCGATGCCTTGTGTGATTAGCTTGCTTTGAACCATGCATGAATAAACCTAGAATTTACCCTGTTAGACTAATTGAATTAAAAAGGTGTCCTCTTGAAATGATCTTAGGCAACTTTAAAGAGTGTGAGACAAATTTGACATATACCTCTTTTGTGGCCTACGCGTGTGGAACTCTTTTGAACACCCTTTGAGCCTTACCTTTCTTT